GCTCGAAGATGAAGATGCTTTGGCTTCAAGAGAATTGTCCATTGCTGATCAAAAGTAACATCTCCTTTCTTCGATGCAAAGTAAGATCATCTAGAGAATGCATTTGACAAACCTTGTTATTTTTTCAACTGATAAGTGATCTTGAATTCGAATCTTGATAAGGACATACTCCAATGGGCTTGGCAACGATTTAAAATAGTGCTGACATAAAATATTCAAGGTTCTTGTGATTTGTATATATGATGACTAAACTAGAAGCACCTTCTAGATAATGGCACCATTCTTAAAACCAATCGATGATTGCAAGAAGTTCTTTATCATGGATCTTGTAGTTGATCTTCATTGCTCAAAATTTTCTAGAATGAAAAGCTACAGGGTGAAGTTTATCATTTGTTCCCATTTGTGACAATACGACATCCAAAGCAAAGTTTAATATGTTTATTTCTATAAAAAATGGCTTAAAAAAATCGACGTAATATAAGATTGGTGTAGAAACAAAGGCTGTCTTCAAAGCTTCAAATACTACTTCCACTTCTTGATTCCATTGAAGTTTGTCTTTACAAATCAAATGTGTAAGTAGAGCTACAACTTAAGAGAAGTCTTTGATGAAGATTTGATAGTAATTGGCAAATCCTAAAAAGCATTGGACATCTCTTACCATTTTTGGGATCTTCAAATCCATAATAGCTTGAACTTTCTTAGGATCCATCATAAGTCCATCATTTGAAATGATGTATCCTAAGAAGTCGACTTGAGTAGTTTGAAATACACACTTTTCTATCTTAGAATAGAGTCCTACATCTCTTAGTTTTTGTAATACACGATGAATATGAAGTTCATATTCTTTTGTGTTCTTCGAATAGATTAAGATGGCATCTAAGTAACAGACAATAAAATCATCTAAAAACTCTCAAAAGACATCATTCATTGGATGTTGGAATGCTGTTGATTTATTTGTAAGTCCAAAAGGTATGAAGTTATATTTGAAATGTCCATATCTTGTTCAAAACGCAGTCTTCTATTTATCTCTTTCTTTGATGTGTACCACATTGTATGCTCCCCATAGATCTATTTTTATATAGATCTTAGCTTGATTCAACTGATCAAGGAATCTACATATTAAAAGTAGTGGGTACTCATTCTTGATGGTGATTTTGTTGAGTCCTCGATAATCAACACATATCTGCAATGATTCATCTTTTTTCTTCACAAATAAAATTAGAGCTCCTCTTGAAGATTTGGAATGGCATATGACGTTCTTTGCTAGATTCTCTTCAATATATTCCTTGAATTCAACCAACTCATTTTGTGATAAATTATAGATTGGTCCAAATGGCAATTGTGCTCCTTCTTGAAGGTCAATTGAAGAGTCATAGGAACAATGTTCCAAAAGAGTATCCACATTTTTTTTTTCAAATACATCTTAAAAATCTAGATATTGGCTTGAAATGGCACTTGAAGTCTTTCCACTAGTAGAAACAAGTATGGCATAAATGACACAAGATGATCCTTCTTTTGCAGCATGCAAGAAAGCTCTTGCACCTCCAAATACAGATTTAATTATATTAGACTTATGACTTTTTACTTGATTAACTATGCTCTTAGTTATACTTTTAAAAAAATTAAGACTACGAGAAGTTCAATCTATTTTAGGATTATATTTTATTAGTCATGATAAACCTAAGATCACTAGATTAGAGGGAGATTTAATGATATTAAATATTACAAAGATACTATGACCATTAGTTGCTACTTCTATAGCAAGGATTTCATGAATAACATCTTCTGAAGACAATGGACAACCATCTATGACTTCTACATGAACAGGTTTAGTTTTCTTCATTATAAGTATGCTATGTCTTTTGGTAAATTCTTCATCTAAAGAACATGCAGAGGCTCCTGAATCTAATAACGCAGAGGCTTTGTGATATTTAGGTCCTAAAATAACATTTATTGTAAAACAAGGAAAGGGTTCTGAGGAGAGAATAGGACCTTGACTAGGTATTGTACAAGGTTCCAACCGCATGATCCCTATTGTAGCTGAACAAACTTATTTTTTGACATATTAACTTCTTTGATAGCCATACTCATCATTTTATGGTTGTGTCACTTCTTTGAGCAATGTTGAGTAGTGTGCTTAGGTTCTCTACAATATAAGTATAATCCTTCCTAATAATGATGAGTCTTTTCTTGCTCAGTAAGAGCTTTGAAACATACTGCATCAATTTGCATATCCTCTACTTTCAAATGTATGTATTGAAGAGGCATTGGTGTTGCCTTTGAATTATAGTAATGTTTAAGTTCTTTTGTACAGTTTTCATATCAAAATTCAAAAAGACGATTGTTGCACTTCATCACAAAGTCAATTATTTAACTTAATGTTTGAAGATCAAGTTGAGCATTAATTTTTTTACTTCATATTATAATCTGTAGAGAAATTGGCTAACAAGTGCAGCATCATCTCACTTGATATTAGTTGCAAGTTGTCAAAACTATGAAGCATATAACGTTATTTATCAATTATCTTGTCGCAAAATACTGATCTTGTTGATTGCAACACAAATTGCAATATGTTCTCTATACATGGATCAAAATTTTGCTAAAAAAGCCTCCAGATTATTCAATATTGAATCTCGTCATTCAAAAAAAAGATGAAAACCATGATAATGCTCAACCTAAAAGAAGCGCACCAATGAATCTAACTTGCAATCTTAGAGTTGGATAACTTTGAGGTTGAAATTCAATCACAAATTGTACTTGATTCATAAATCTTCTAAACTTTGATCTGGTGCCATCAAACTTCTCGAGTAGGGCAATTCTTGGTTCTCTAATATTGAAAGGCTGTTCGACCTTAGAAGAAGGGACATGATTTGGTGTAGATGTTGAAGTAGCTACAATCATTTTTATATCTTCACTTCTTGCTAATATTGTTGCTCCTTGTGGTGGTAAATTAAGTTGATACATCGCAAGTATTAACTCCCTCAATTGCTCTTGCATTTGTGCCATTGCACTCTTCATTTCAATAAGTCCTGCCATGATAACACTTAGAAAAGAAAAGATATCTAATATCGCTCAAGACAAATAGAAGACAGGACTTGAGAACAAAAAAAATACTAAGAACAATATCAGTTTAGAAGAGGTTAATTTGTAACTTCAAAAATGCTTATGTCTTATCAAAAGAAAGAGCTAATTCTTTCTTAATCAAGATTAGATAAAGCTTTAATATTGTAAGTGCACTCTTGTCAATGTGTCAAAGACAAGAATTTGATGAAAATATATAAATAAGTGAGACTATTTTCAAAGTAAGATGAAAAAATAGAAATAACTAAATATGTATATTAAGAAAGAAACTGGAGTAGCTATTGCCAAAAGACAAGAAAACTAGAGACCCTTGAAAATAGACTAGAAGCAAGAAAGAAATTGACAAGAGTGAAGGAGGCTTCACTCTTGCCTTTATATATACTATCTACGTAGGCGCTACATGGCGACATTCTATAGGACCTCCAAAAACATGTTGACTTTGTACAACACATATCTTAACTTGCAAGATAAGTTTTCTATGTGGATGCCATATAGTTAGCTTGTTCCGCAAGCTACCAACATGTGTGGCACATGATTAATTTTTTGACCAAGTTTCTAACCTATCATCCAAGTATAAAGACATGTAAAATCAAAGCAGCATCTATGAAGCTTTTTTAGAAGATATTATGAAATTAATCTACTTTTACCTACTTCTTCCTATTCATATCACCTAGGTAATAATTACAATAAATATGTGTCTGTGACAATAGTTCTAGAGTTAGGTGTATTGAGCCAACTCATTTTTACGTGTGTTCATGAATTAACAAATGAAGTATGTATAAGCCAAAGAACATGACTTCATACCTTTGAGCTATGTAGAATATTGATATTCTTGTTTAGTACAACTATAGTGTGATTTAGATATTACATGGCACATGTTTGTTTCTACTTGATTATTGAGTGCTTGTTTTGTACTATTTTATTTCTATATGTTGAACCATTTCAACCATAAAAATGACACAACTTAATCTATTATAGTTGCATTTTATTGTGATCCAACTTCTCCCTTCAAATCAATTGAATGTTGGAAACTGTTTTGCTATATTGAGTGTGTTACAAAAGATCAATCGAGTGAAATTGAATACAACAAGAACATATGCTTCCTAGCCTGGTTAACTAAGGTCAAGAGCAGATGCACAGTCTAAAAAAGCTTGTGCACACCAACACCGCCCTTCACATGCATGCTTTCCTTCACACTTGTTCTCTCCATTGTTCCACACCCCAGCTCCCCAGTTCCACAGCACTCAACATCCTCATCTAACTCACTCTCTATCCAAACCTCGCATTCCACATCGACTGCTGCAGGAAAACAAATTGAGTCATGACTTCGATGAATCTCTTCTAAAACATTCATGCCCCTTCCAACCAGTGCACATCACCACCGGGACAACCAAATGCAGTGCACTCTATGCTCATGCAAACATACACATTTAGTTCGACCTACGACGTGTGTTGTGATCCACGGAAGCGCGCAAAATTCACAAGTCTCGTACACCCTAGGACAGCATCTGCTGCGCGCTCCATAGGCCGACAATTCGCTGTCGTTACCTCCCGCCAACATGAACCCACTTTGAACACGGATTTGCCTCGCAGCTCTCACAACTCACAGCGAGCAACTGCATGCAAACTCGTGGAAGGGGTCACAGAGTTGAAGTGCAAGAGCCTGATGCAATTTCTAAGCGGGGTGGACAAGAGGCTGTAAAGGATACCATGATGCATGGAGTCAGTGAGTGATTTGCATAGCTTTGATCTCATCTAGCTGCGGAACGGCAAGGGCGACATCGAGCGAAGGAGGGTATGTATGCATCAGCATCAGCAGACGACAGTGATAGGTCGGAGAAATGGAGCCGTCAAACCAAATAAACCGACGGCGAGACAGAATTGAGTTCGGAACGACTCGCAATCTTAAAAACAAACACAAGTGTAAGCACAACAGTCCGAACCGCGACCAGTTTTCCTGGTGTATTTATATATTTGACCGACTAGGCAAATTCACACCACGACGTGAAGCGATGCTCGTAAACATGCGGTGGTCAGAAATCACCTCTTGACGCCTGAGGTCAGGTTTGGCGAGTTGCACTCCCGAAACCAAGGCGCTCGGTGAGTTGGTTCGGATGCTGGAACATTAAATCCTGTACGAGGAGTCCATCCAAGCAACCACAATCAGCAGCTAACACACGAAATGTGATACCAAAATACAAGTCATGAGGATCCAAAAAGATACGATTGAATAAGTTGGCTTACATTGAGGATCTGTGATTGGGGGGGTGTCCAGCGGGGGAGCGATCGTCACTGTGTCTCGCAGGCCTGCATCAATGTCCCACTCTCGGGACAAGGGACCGGACGAAGCACGCACCGTGTTCCTCATCGCGATGGAGTGCAGCTGATGACTAAACGAAACAAATACAGAAAGGAGCGAGGTCAGGAGGCAGAAGCCAGAAAGAGAAGATGAAGATGGAGAAGGAGACGGAGATGCGGAATTGAGGTCCTTCTATTTATACTTCGCGTTGGGAGGGACATCGGGTCCGCCATGTCCCCCGTGTGTGTGTGTGGAATTGCGGAATTCCGAAACCAAGGTGGTGGTTAGGATTTGTAGCTTTTATAAATTTTAGAAAAATAGAATAAAATAAAATAAAAAACTATAGTAGAAAGAATTGTATATTCTCAAAGCCAAACCATATTATATCTAATATTTTTTAGAAAACAAGAAATTATATTATTATTACTACATCTTGTATTTTTTTAAAATTAAATATTAGTTGTTGGTTTGAATCTCCTAAATACCAAAATTTTATATATTTAATTTATTTTTTACTATGTTTTATTTTAGAAGCTATTAAGTTGTTATAAGGTTGTTGTTGATAAAAATATATATATAAAAAGATTAAATAATCAATTGATGGTTTACAATTTATTTGCTGATTGACATAATATTATTGAATGCTTTAAAAAGGCTTAAGTTGTCTTATAAGTTGTTCTAAAGTAAAAGATATATATATATATAATAAAAAGATATTTGAGATTTGTATATTATTAAATTTTGGATGATTTATTATTAAATGGTATTTTATCTTTTTATCAAAAGAAAAAATTCCAATATGGTTGACTTTGTCAAATTTGATTAACTGGACTAAAAAAATAAAAAAATAAAAAAAATTATATAATATACATAAACTTCAAACAAAAGAAAGCTTTAAACATTAATAGAAAGTTTTATAAATGCATCTTTTTCAATTAGAATGTTAAAATAGAGTAGCTTTTGGCTATAATAAACCTTTATAAAAGTGTAAATGATTTATACAATGCTTAATTTAAAATTATTTGTTTTAAAATTAAAATAGAATAAATTTTTAGTTTATAGTATATATTAGATACTTATATTTTTCAAGTAGATGACACAAAGTATGCTTTAGTTGCTAATTCGTCAATAAAATCAAAGTTTGTGGAATAGTTTTTAGTATCTTTAAATTTCTAAACCGTTAAATCTATAAATAATTAAAATCCAGAGCATTCTAAGTTATAATATATTTTTATATAATAAAAAATAATATTATTATTTTTTTTACATATGCCTAAAAAATAAAGGTCTTTACAAATCTTATAGGAAATATATATAAGATAATAAAAGATGCACATTTTGTAATGTTGTAGATAAGGCTAATAAATAATTGTAATAATTTTAGATCTTAGTAAAAATCTATTAATATAAAGAACTTATATTAATTTAAAATATTAAAAGATCATATTTTATAACAATATATTTCAAAATAGATGATATTATTAGCAACAATTAGAATATTGTAAAATATATTATATAATATTTTACAAAAGCCAATTATAAAATCAATAATTTAGTTCAATTGTAGCAAGTGCACATTTTCTTCATTTTTTCTACCAAAACTAGAAGAAAAATGCTTAATTAAGGTCCATCCAAGCACCTCTAGCAAGTTACATTAGTAAATTCTTATTGTGGCTAACTTTGATAGTAGTTCTTATCAATATTTGTTTCTATCTTTTCTATCTAATTCTATCTATAGACAATAAAATCAACATGTATATATATATATATATATATATATATATATATAATTCGAAGTGCAAGCCCATGGTTTTAACATACCATTTAAGTGTAGCAAGTGCAGATTTTTTTCATTTTTTCTACCAAAATAAGAGGTGAAACATCTTATTAAGATCCTTCCAAGCACTTCTAGCAAGTTATATTAAAAAATTCTTGTTGTGGCAAACTTTGATAATAATTCTTATTATTATTTGTTTCTATTTTTTCTACCTAATCTCTGTATATAGATAATAAAGTCAACATAAATATATATATATATATATATATATATGTACTTGCATATGCAAGTCCATGGTTTTAAAACACCATTCAATTGTATGATTTTGATCATAAGATACATAAAATAGTGCCAAATGCAAATCTAGTTGCATCTAACAAGCAATAAATCTTGATGCAAAATCTCAATTATTATGAGTTGGTCTAAAATCATAACTAAGTAATAACATGTAACATAATTCTTATAAGATTGTGAGACAAATAGTAGCTTTATATGTGATAATTTCTTTAAAAATTTGTTATACTAAAAAAAAAAACTACATATAATGAATTTTAGATCTATTAAATCTATTATCCAATTGATAAGTTAGATTTTCTTTTTTAAATTTTATATATTTATTTTTTGCTTAAAGATTAAAATAAAAAATTATTATAGTTAAAATCAAAAAATCAATTAATTTCTATTGATATTTGAAAAAAATAATACAAATTTATTTAGGATTTATTTAAGTTTTTTTTTAAGATTTCATTAAAACTTGTTTAGAATTGTCTTAGGACTACATTAGCATTTGATTGATTAAATTTAGAGGCTATATTAGGATTTTTTAGGAATTTTTTAGAGCTATTTTAGAATTTGATTAAGATTTATTTAGGATTTATTTGAAGTTTTTATTTTTAGTATTTTTAAAAGTATTTTTAAATTTTATATATATATATATATATATGAATAATTTATGATTTCTTTATGGTTCTTTTATAATTTTTTAAAGATTTTTTTTAGATTTTATTAGTATTTAATTAAGATTATTAAGATTCAATTGAATTTTATTAAAGATTTCATTAGAATTTTTGGAATCTTGTTGTTATAATTTATAATTTAACTTTTACAACTAAGTACTGAATGCATTTTTAAGTAAGACTTTATACCATCTTGATGCACTTAATTTAAGTGCATCAAAGTTATTCAAAGAATAATTAGTTTTATTTCTAAGAAGAAGAAATATAATGCTAATATATTTACATATTTGAATGGAATTTAGAGTAGGAGATTGTTACCTTAAATGGATTGTTCAAGCTTTGAAGATATTACCTTTTAGGATATATATCCAGCTCCATAGTGGTTTAAGGCGAATATTAGGAGAAGATTAGGGCGGAATTTCGATATGAAGTGGGGCTTCTTTAGGCTAGAGCAACAAGGGGGGGAGGTAGTTAGAAATATTTGGGCAGCAAGATTCAAGATTGGTTTACATTTTTCTATCCCATTTATTAGATTTTCAACTTTTTGTATTGAGATTTTTAAGGGAGCTAGATCTTGTTATTATTTTTCCAACAAGTCTTTGCAAAGAAGAAAGAAAGTTGTGTCAAGGAAGATCCAAGCTAATTTGTGGATGGAAATTTTGAGGATTGTAGCTATAGTAAGTGGCTAACTTTTTCTTTGATTTGGCACTTATTTTTAAAAAAAATTATTTATTGACTTTGACCTTTTAAATTTTGTAGCTTTAATTTAACTCAATTAGCTAATATTTTCTTAAATTGCATTAGTAACAAGTAAGTTGTAGCTATTTTAGTAAAAAGTAGTTTTGATTTAAGATTAGATTAAGGAATTGGATATATCTTGGTACAAAAAAGGAATTAATTTAAAATTTATACTTGAGTTTGAGGCTACCTTTTTTATATTTGAGTTAATTTGGGATAATATTGTATTTTTTTGGAATCTATTTACAATCAATTACTTGAAGCTAAAGAGCAAGCTTAGGGCATGAGGAGGAATTTAAGAGTTTAAAAGGAAATGTGGGATATTTTTGACATTTGAAGATGATGGTTGATTTTGGAGGGACTAGGACAAATGGCACTAAAAGAGTGAGTGCCAATAATTTACTTTTAGCTTTGAATATATTCATAAAAAGACAACAAAAGGTACAATCAAGCAAGATGGGCATGACTAAAGAATTGTAAGATATGATCAATAAACATGGAAGGTTTGATAGGAGGAACATCACCAAGTTTTTCCAAACATATGTGAGAGAGATGGAGGTACATTAAGTCTCCAAGTCTTAATATATTCCTAGTTTTGAATTAGCATGCATTCTTGAAATTATAAAGAAGATGAAGGATTTGCATAGAGATGTTTTAGAGGCTTGGAGTGACTTTCAAGGGAGGTCGAAAGATAAATATTATGATGAAGATTTTAATAGAGTGACAAAGAGGTCATTTTTGGAGTAGGTTGAACAACAATTGAGGATGAAATATGATCGGACTATCTCAAAAATCTAAGACCCTTCAAATCTATAATAATATAAATTTTATCTCAAAATAAGACAAAATAGACCAAAAAAAAATTAAAAAAAAACTAAATAAAATAGGACATAAAAGATAAAATTGAGCAAATAAAAATAAAATTAAATAAAATTAAATAAAAAGATGTAAAACCAAACTTTACTAAAAAAAAAGATTTGAAGCCATACTTGACCAAGTGTCCAAAAGGCCTTGGCCAATCCTATTTATACTTTGTCTAATCACCTTAGAACTTTCTAGAATATTCTTAATGATAGATTTTACTTAAATTACTACTTTAAATTCTTTTTAGAAGGTTCTATAGTAGGTCCTACCTAAATAACCATGCTAAGCTCTTTCTAGAATATTTTATAGTGGATCCTATCTAATTAACTACCTTAAGTTTTTTTTAAAATATTCTATGGTAGATTCTACATAGCTTACTAACCTAGCCTCAATTCTAAAAACTTCTATAAACTTCTCAACACAATTTTAATTATTAATTTCTATATATCAATAATATAAATATCTTATTTATATTTTGTTACAATTAATCTTCCTCTATTAATATAAAATATCCTTGTTTTTCTCACAATGGTATTTCCAAATTATTTCTTGGCAATGGATGAGGTTCTATGTAGGTTTTTATATTACATTGTGGATGGAATAATCCTTCTAAAGAACTTTGTACTAAAGTTGTGGACATCCACTGCCATGACAAATGTAGCAATACTCTAAAATATTATTCACTTCATATTCTTATTGATCATCAACTATAACTAGTCGTAGTGGTGGTTGGTGAAGATCTGAAAAGTACCTTAACTTGATATACAATTCCTTGAATTGCAAAACATAAAAGACTAGATATACTTGAAT